GTTAGCTACAAAAACAAACAGACAGATAGAGAAATAAGCATACAACCAAGCAGAAGAATTCAGAGAAAGAGAGAAAGACAAAAAGAAAAGAACGAAAGACATAAAAACAAACAAACGAAAACAAAAAACAAAAGAAACAAAGACATACAAAAAAACGAAAACCCAAAAGAAAAAAAGAGACGAAAAAGAACCCGAATAAAACAGACGAGACAGAAAAGACAATGAGAGAATTCGAACACGAGACGAGTCATTTCCCGGCGCACACCAGCCTCCCTTTTCCCCGTGTCCGAAGGGCTGCGTGAGGGGCGCGCCTGTGATTTTACAAACACTGAAATACTAATGGAGAGTCACTGTTTGAAATCGCTCGCGTGGGGGAGGGGGTGGGGGAGGAGGGTCGGGGGGAATGGGGGAAGGGGGGTGGAGGGGAATGGGGAGGGTGGATGAGGGGGAAGGTGCAGGGGTGGAGGGGGGATTATGGGAAGGAAGAGGGATGGGGGGAGGGGAGGGGGATAAGGGGGAAGGTGGGGAGTGGGATTGAGGGTTTTAGGTGAAGGAGGAAGGGAGGGTAAGGGGGGGAAGGGGAGAGGGAGGAGAAAGTGGAAGTTGGAGGGGGAAGGGGTGGAGGAGGATAAGGAGGGAGTTGGAGGGGGGGGGAGGGAAGGGGGAGGATAAAGTTGGAGGGTAAGGTGGTAGGGGTGAGAGGAGAGGGAACTGTGAGAGAGTAGGGACAGGGTGAGAGATAATGATGAGAGGAGAAGGCTATACGGGAGGAGGGGAAAGAACAGAGTGAGGGAGAGGGGAGAGGGATGAAGATAAGAGGGAGGGAGTTAGGGGGAGGAATAGGAGAGAATGAGGGTAGGGGGCAAGGGCGGGGATGAGGAGAAGAGTGAGGAAGAAGGATGATGGGGAGAGCAAGGGTGCAGCAGAAGTGGGGGAATAGATGGGAGGATGGAAAGTTGGCAAAAAATCAGACAGATAGATAGAATTATAAGAAAACAGGCAGGCAGATGAATTCAGAGAAAGACAAAAACAAGCGAGGAAAACACACATGGAGGGGAGAAAAGAGAAAGGGGAAACAGAGATGGAAAAATAGAAAGAGGAAAGAGGAAAGAGAGGAGAAAAAAAAAAGCGAAAAGAGAGAAGGAGAGAGAGAGAGAGAACTAAGATTGGGGGGGAGGGAGGTATCATAATCGTCCCCGCCTGAATGCCGTCATGCAAAGTGCGAATGTCTGTGAACAAGAATCATGAGACCTCGCCGGCAGAGAAGAAAAATGAGCAGGGGACATTAGCATACGCCGAGGCAGCCAAGAGACAGTCTCGATGCATTTAACTACCGCGGGATTTTATATTATTCAGATATACTGTATATTACGATGGAATTAACATAATCCGACACTCGAGATGCCAAGGATGAGTTACGATAGATTATACTGATTTACCCTTTAACAAAATAAGAAGAGAAATATTGAGAAAGCAGGTATCTCTTTCTGTATACATAATATTGGACGAAATTTTCCCTTCTCGCAAAAGTGTCTCTGTGTCTACTGGTTATATTGGACGAAATTTTACCTTCTTACGGGAATGACTGTGTATACGGGTTATATAAACTCAGTGTATATAGACTTAGCTGTTATTAAAGCTGAAAGATTGATAAAGAAGCCTATAGATTGAAGTACAATCGAAGTATATGAAACATGAAAACAGAATAAAAAGGGAATTAATACAAGCCGTGCTTTATTAGAATGAGCAGAGTGGTTTTGCGTCAGAGTGAGGGAAAGACATATAAAGTGAACAGAGGACAAAGCGAGTGAGCTTAGGTCATACGGGGCAAACAGAGGTCAGACAGAAAGAACAGAGGTCAGATAGGGTGAAGGCTGTAACAGGTTGAACAAAGGTTAGTGAGTGTAGGGCATAGAAGTGAACATCGATCAGAGTGAGTGAAGTTCATACAGGATTGACAGGTATATATAGAATGTTCACCAGTAGTTTAGTTAGGGTAAAAATTATAGAGGGATGCGATGACCTGTTAATAATATGTACCGCTGCTATAATGATTGAATATGAGGGAGAGTGTTTAATTAACTGGCGGTGTGGCAGAGAATATTAAATGCAAGGATATAAGAAGTGAATGATGTGGCAAGTGTGAAAAAACGAGAGAAGAGAAAAGGAAAATAAAAAGGAAGAAAGAATAACAAGGAATGAATAACAGAATAAAAAGAGATAGATAAATAGATAGATAGACAGATAGACAAACAAATTGATAGATGGATGGATGGAGAGAGAGAGAGAGAGAGAGAGAGAGAGAGAGAGAGAGAGAAGAGAGAGAGAGAGAGAGAGAGAGAGAGAGAGAGAGAGAGAGAGAGAGAGAGAGAGAGAGAGAGAGAGAGAGAGAGAGAGAGAGAGAGAGAGAGAGAGAGAAGAGTTCATGGATACAGACAAACAGACAGACAGACAACTAGGCAGACAAACGGACTGAAAAGCATAGACAGAGAGAAACACACTTCAGACACAGAAAGAACCTGACAGAGAAGAGAGAGGAGAGAGAGAGAGAGAGAGAGAGAGAGAGAGAGAGAGAGAGAGAGAGAGAGAGAGAGAGAGAGAGAGAGAGAGAGAGAGAGAGAGAGAGAGAGAGAGAGAGAGAGAGAGAGAGAGAGAGAGAGAGAGAAGAGAGAGAGAGAGAGAGAGGAGAGAGAGAGAGAGAGAGAGAGAGAGAGAGACAGAGAGAGAGACAGAGAAACAGAAGAGAGATTACAGAAGCAAATAAAAGGCAGCATAACCACAGCACCTCCAGCAGACATTACAAGCTCAGACCACGGCGATTATCTGTACTAATACCTTGATTGCGCATTAATTCCCTGCCAACACGTTTAATCTAATTCTGTGTTTACAATAAATAGCAATCATACTTATTTCTGTTTCTTTTGTTTCGTTCCCTTTCGTTTTGTCTTCTGGTTTCATTTCTTTGTTTTCTGGTTTCGTTTCTGTTCGTGTTTTATTGTTTTTGTTTTCTTTTTCTTCTTTATTCATTTTGTTTGTTATTCATTTCTTTGTGATTTATGTTGTATATGATAAAGAAAACGGTATGTATTTTTCTGTATAATGTTTTTTTTTCTAAACTTTTCTTGTCTCTGTTCTTCTTCCGCATTCTTCCCTCATTTTCTCCTTCTCCTCTTATTTTGCCTTCTTCTTTTCTCTCCTCCCTCTTCTTTTTGTTTTTCTTCCTCCATTCCTTTCTTGTAATCCTTCGCATTTCCCTCTTCTTCCTCCTCCTTCTCCCACTCCAACCTTCTCCTCCTCTTCCTCCTTCTCTTCTTCCTCCTACTTCTTTCTTCTCCTCCTCTTCCTTATTATTATTATATTTCTCCTCCTCCTCCTTCTCTTCTATTTCCTTTTCTTACTCCTCCACCTCCGTCTCTTTCTTTCTTTTTCTCCTCCACCTTCACCTTCTTTCCCCTCTTCCTCCTGCACCTTATTTCTCCATCCTCTCCCTCCTCCTCCTCCTCTTCCGCTCCACCTTCTTTCTCCACCCTCTCCCTCCTGCTGCTGCTTCTCCTCCTCCTCCTCCTTCCTCCTCCTCCTCCTCCTCCTCCTCCACCTCCATCCTCCCTCTTCCATCCTCCCTTCTCCCTCCTCCCTCCTCCTCCACCTCCATCTCCTTCCTCCTCCCTCCTCCCTCCTCCTCCCCCTCCCCCTTCCTCCCTCCTCTTCCTCCTTCTCCACCCTCCCCCTCTCCCTTCCTCTCGAATGGACACCCCGTTTAATATCCACCTCCGAGAAACTGCCAATGAAAAACAGGCCCCAAAGCTTGAAAAAGTCAGTGTCATTATGGCGACTCGTGGGGGAAAAAAGAAAGCTTATTAAGAAAAGCTCATGCTCCAAAAAGAGAAAGAAGAAGAAGGAGGAGGAGGAGGAGGAGGAGGAGGGAGGAGAGAGGAGGAGGAGGAGGAGGAAGAGAGAAGGAGAGAAGAAGAAGAAAGAAGAAGAAGAAGAAGAAGAAGAAGAAGAAGAAGAAGAAGAAGAAGAAGAAGAAGAAGAGGAGGAGGAGGAGGAGGAAGAGGAGAGGAGGAGGAGGAGGAGGAGGGAGGAGCAGGAGGAGGAGGAGGAGGAGGAGGAGGGAGGAGCAGGAGCAGGAGAGGAGGAGGAGGAGGAGAGAAGAAGAAGAAAGAAGAAGAAGAAAAAGGAGGAGGAGGAGGAGAGGAGGAGGAGGAGGAGAAGGAGAAGAAGAAGAAAGAGGAAGAAGAGGAAGGAAGGAGGAGGAGGAGAAGAGGAGGAGGAGAGAGGAGGAGGGAGGAGGAGGAAGAAGAAGAAGAGGAGGGGAGGAGGTGGAGAAGGAGGAGGAGAAGAAGAAGAAGAGAAGAAGAAGAAGAAGAAGAAGAAGAAGAAGAAGAAGAAGAAGAAGAAGAAGAAGAAGAAGAAGAAGAGAAGAGGAAGAAGATAAAAAGGGGTTTACATACACGCAAGATTGATAACCCCCGAGGCTTCAGGATCAGAGATGAACGGCTGAAGTTGAAGGTCACAGGAGGATCAGCTGATGACAAATGAATGAAGTCTGATTTCACTTTGTGGAAGTTGGGTCGACTTGTTCTTGCTGCGGTTGTGATTTGTCGGAAGTCATATTCTCTTTCGTGTCTATGCTTGTGTGCGTGTTTTTATTTTATTTATCTATTTGTTTTTTAATTTCTTTGATCGTGTTGGGAGAAAATACGGGTGGTTTTGGTAGGATTTTTTTTATACGTTGGTGTGTGAAATGTTTGTGTCTGTGTTTGGGTTTGCGTGTGTATGTTTGTGTGTGTATGTGTGTTTGTTTGTGTATGTGTGATGTGTTGTGTGTATGTGTGTGTATGTGTTTGTTTGTGTTGTGTTATATGTGTGTGTGTGTGCTCGTGTTTGTGTTTGTGTGTGTTTTCAAAAGTACTTATGCTTGTATCCCTACTCACCTGGATGCCTTTGTATGAATACAAACATGCACCCTGTGTACATATATCTGTATGAATACCGACATGAATACATGTGTGCGTGTACGTATGCCAGAGTCTAATGCATACACGCGTTGGTATGCCTTCCCTGGTGGCATCTTCGGCGATGAACCCGTGTCCATGTTCATTTCTCGAAACTTCCAAGACGGTCATTCTGTTAACTTCGAGACACGTCAGAGCGTCGATTCTCTCTCAAAAGTTTTGCTATTTGCCTTAAAGCACAAGCGATTCATCTCCGTGTACTCATATCTATACTTCTATACTTAAATCATTTATAAAGTCGATGTATTTGTTTAGTCATACGTCCATTTGTCTATTAATACGTGTGTTGTCTGTTTACGCGTGGCAATCTATTTGTATTTTTCATTTAGCTGCTTCTTTGATTTTGAATTTGTCTGTTTATCTGTTTATTTCTGTCTATCTATCTGTCTATCGATTTAACCACCTGTCTATCTAATTTCCTGTCTTTTCTATCTATCTGCTTGTCTATATCCCAAGAACAAAACACAAAACACGGTCATAAAGCCATTTGTGCTGGAAATATTTGTTTATACTTAGATAATATGATTATGTTTTTTACGTTCTTTGCTGGAAAAGTTGTCGTCTTGTAAAGCATACATACATACAAGCATAAGCGTACGTATCAATTATATTCATGTGACCCAAGAATTTGCTTTTATATACATTGACTTGATTGATGTAAGGCTATTTCTCTAAGTTCTCAGGCGTGACTTAGATAATATATCCGTGTTACAATATTGCTTTACAATTTTAGGATATTTTCATAAGTTTGTAGTCTAATACATCAAATTAGATTAAGTATGTATGAGGTGGCATTTTTTTTCTCTTTCTTTCGTACATTTCATATTGATTAACATTAAATTATACAGTATTACATTACCACTCTGACTTACTACACAGGCATGGGCAAGCTGCTGTACATTTTAGGCATGGTCATAGCATTTTATAAATATTGCATTGCAAATTTAGGCTTTAATATTATTATGGCCTGTACTATATCATTTAAAAGAAAATAACAATTACACAGTCCTTTCCCTACTCATCTACGTGTTCATAATGTAACGTGATGTGCCAGACCCGTAGAGTTTTGCAAGGAGATGCTCTATCGCACGAAAAATCAATGATAAAAAAGATAGAAGGATCGCGATATATAATTAGTTTCGCTCTCTATCTCTATCTCTTCAACGAGGAATGCGCATGGATCACCCCGGACTGCACCGCGCTTTGTAAACACAGCACAGCGTAACGGAATCCCAAAATGCACATTGCAATTACGTAGCGCTTCTCAGCCCTGATTGCAATTTCCTGCCCACTTCACACTCCTAACGCATTTGACAGACGCTGAGGGCCGAATCGTGACGGACTGGCGGTGACTGGTAAGGGGGGGAAGAGCCGCTGGGGTTTGCGCTGACTGGTTGGGGGGAAAAATAAAGATATTTTCATTTTTTGTCCTTTGTTCAGATTGTCGACTTGAAGTGTACGAGGTACTGATGTTTTAGTTTTGTTATCGTTTTTAGGGTTTTGTCGGTGTTGTTGGTTTTATTGTAACTGTTATTATCTTTGTTAGTATGATTATGATTATGATGACGATGATCATCATGGTTGTTATTATTTTCTTTATTATCATCCTCATCCTCATTATCGTCATTATTATTACTATTATCATTACTGTCATTATTATCATTAACATTATTGTTATTATTAGCATTATTAGCTTTATTGTTATAATTTTAATCCTTTCCATTGACTCTTATCATTAACATTATCATTATTAACATTACTACTAATATTGATTTCGTAATCATTATTGCTGAAGTTATTATTCATTAGCATACTTCTCCTGCTCACATCATCACCATTATTATCATTATCATTTTATAACCGTTACCTGACATCACATAGTCACTAGGTTAGTCTCATCCATGAAACTCGGCTCGACTTTCGATGTTCTGGACCGGAATGTGACGTGTGAGGTGTTGCGTGTGTGTGTCTGAATTGCTATGCGTATATATGCACAAACGCACAGAGACACATACATACGAACAGGCAGGCAGGCAGGAAAGCAGTCAGGCAGACATATACATACATACACACCCACACATACACACTCACATAGACGCATATACACACAAAATACATAGACACGCACACATAACGAAAACGTGCACATACAGTACACACATAAGTCAATTGCTGGGTATACTACACCCAATTTATATGCATATGAGGAGTCGCATACGCCACACCCAGACCCGGAATGAATGAATGAATGAAAACAGTGCGCGGATAGTGAATGAAACCGACCTCCTCCACATCCCGCGTTGAATCGAGACATTTAGCGTTGCCTTTGTCGGGGCGGCGGCGGTCGGGGGCAGGCGGTCGGGGGCAGGCGGTCGGGGGCAGGCGGTCGGAGGCAGGCGGTCGGGCTGCAGCTCGCTCCGACCTGCCCTCAGCCTCGCCGTGTGATTTGATTTTCTTTCGGCCAATATTGACTTTTACGGCCTATTTGCCCCCGGCCGCGTCTTTGGCGAATATTAAGCCCCACTCTCAACGGGCGTCGCGGGCGCGGGGCTGGAGCCCTGCTTTTCGGCTTCGGTCTTCATGCTGGGCTTTTGGACACATGCATGCACACACAGATACATACATACATACATATATAATATATATATATATATATATATATATATATATATATATATATATATATATATATATATATATATATGTGTGTGTGTGTGTGTGTGTGTGTGTGTGTGTGTGTGTGTGTGTGTGTGTGTGTGTGTGTGTGTGTATGTATATGTATATATAGATATATATATATATATGTATATATATATATATATATATATATATATATATGTACATATATACATAAATACACATATATCCGTTTTGATTAGATTAATGTCCCGCCACTTACCCCCCCCCCCCCGCTATTTATTACAAAGATTCATCTTCAATACAATCCTCCACTCACCGTGATCGAAACACGACGTCCCATATAAAACACAAGCCTTGTTAAGACGACCTCAACAGTTGAGCTCAGGTCATCGCTCGTACTCAGACCCTCAAGTGCGAAGCCTCGCCCGGGCGGTCTGACACTTCCTTCCGCTGACACTGGCTACGGCGCTGCAGCGGCTGGGAAACTTTATCGCTCGACCTCGACAATGGCTTCCGCTTGTTGTTATTAGGGTTAACTATAGTGCGTATACATACATACTTACATATGTATATATATATATATATATATTATATATATATATATATATATATATATATATATATATATAAATATATATGTCTGTGTGTGTGTGTGTGTGTGTGAGTGTGAGTGTGTAATTTGTGTGTGTGTGTGTGTGATTGTGTGGTGTATTTATTGTATGTATATGTATGTATGTGTATTTGCTATCACTGAAACCTCCTCTCACAAGCCGCCCTCCTAACTGCCCTCTCTTCCCCCTCCCAGAGACAACGCGACGCTCTGGGACAAGTTCCACCTCAGCATCTCTCGCGACGAGCTCTACGCCGCCGACGACCCCGCCATCAACAAGCTCCTGGAACAAGTCAAGACGCTCAAGATCAGTCATATTAGTAAGTTTGTGTCGCTTCTGTTCGTGAATTTTTATTTTTTATCTATTGAATCTTTTTTTATTTTTAGATGTGGGTCTGATATTGTGATTATGGGTATAGTTTGATGTATGATTTGATTTTATGATTACAGGTTGAGCTTCTACACACACACACACACACACGCACACACACACACACACACACACACACACACACACACACACACACACACACACACACACACACACACACACACGCGCGGCAGACACACACACACACAATGAAACACATGCACATACACATACACAAAGTGAACACACAAACACATATCGTACCTGCTCAAAAAAGGAAAAAAATACCGAATGCATTTCCTTTTGATGAAGCGAATCGTATATGGAAAAGCAAAAAAAAAAAAAAAAAAAAAAAAAAAAAAAAAAAAAAAAAAAAAAAAAAAAAAAATCCCCCTGAACACACACACACACAATGAAACACATGCACATACACAAAGTAAACACACAAACACATACTGTACCAACTCAAAAAAAAAAAAAAAAAAAAAAAAAAACTGAATGCATTTTCTTTTGATGAAGCGAATCGTATATTGAAAAGAAAAGAAAAGAAAAAAAAAAACTCCTGAAACACACACACACACACACACACAAATCATACATCCTTACCAACCTACAAAAGGGGAAAACATAAAACACACGAAGGCAAAGGAATATCCACAAAGCTCTTATCTCTATATAGACAAAATAGAGATAATCCTCCTCTGTCGATACACATTATACTGGAATAACATTTTCCCTTCCGTCCTCACAGCCCAGAAGGAGGGCGGGACGCAACTCAAACTCCTCATCGAATTTTCCAACGGAGGGAATGCGCTGTTCAAGCCCATGAGGTGAGCCTGCACTTGTATGGGGTTTTGGTTATGAGTATACGTATTTACATATCTTTATGTTTGTATGTATGTGTCTATCTATTTATATATCCGTCTATTTATCTCTCTCTCTCTCTATCTATGCATCCATCTCTCTCTCTCTCTCTATGTATCCATCTCTCTCTCTCTCTCTATGTATCCATCTCTCTCTCTCTCTCTCTCTCTCATATATATATATATATATATATATATATATATATATATATATATATATATATATATATATATACTATATTCTGTAAGTATATGTAATATGTAGATGTTGCGTGTGTTTTCAATATTCACTGTGTGCGTATAGTGTGTGCATCTTCTCATGTGTACATGGAGATTCCGGGATTAGATCCTCCCTCTCAATTTCTTAATATTGAACACAAAGTCTCGGCCGTTACAGGGACTCTTTGCTCGTAATTTAATATTCGCCGGATCAAAAGAAAAAGTTTTATATGAGGGCCTTCACCCTACGTTGCGCTGTAAGTCATCTGCACAGGTATACACGGCTATGACACAAGCAGAAATAATCAAAGGTTTGGCAGCCTTTGTCAGGAACTTTGCCTCAACGGTTTTTTTCAAAGTCAAGCTCGATCCTGATTGGCTGTTGGGATTTTACGGGGTTTGAAATCTCGAATGGGATTGGCTGCTGGGTTGTAACGTCTCGTGCTATTGGCGGATACGGTTAGGGTGACTGTTTCCGATTGGCTGATCACAACGGGAAGTTCGAGGAAGGTTGGTTTGAAATTATTTAAAAGATATTAAGTTTAAGAGTTAGGTCACAGTGTAATTATACATGCACAGTTTTATTCGAGAAAAATGTTCTGTGTGGGTTGATCGTGAAAGTGAGGGTTTTATCGTGAAGGTTTTGACAAGCATTAATAGCTAAAAAATCTCAAACTTCAAGAATATAGTTTCTATTACACCAATTTCTCGTTGCATTTCGACCAAAAAGGAAGTTTTTGATGATGTATATAAAGTTATTTTTTAATTGACTTAAATATAACGGAAATGATTGAAGTGATAACATAAATGGGGTTGTTAGGAATATTAAAAAAAAACATTGTCATAGTAACCATTAATATAATCAGTGATAAGATTATAAAAATGAAAGGAGGGAGGTGGAAGGGAGGGGGAAGGGGAAATATGGGTAAGAAAGGGAGGGAAGAGAAGGAGGTAGGAACGGCAAATTGCGTGTAAAGCTGAGGGAAAAGGGAGATGGAGAAGGGGAGATGGAGTGAAAGGGAAAGGGAGTTAGGGAAGATAGGAGAGAAAGAAAAGGACAGTCGGGAGAGAGGGAGGTGGGAAAAGTGGAGGAAAAGAAGAGAGAGTGGGAAGGAAAGTATGTAAAGAAGCGGCGAATAGGATGCATAAATAGAGAGAGAGAGAGAGAGAGAGAGAGAGAGAGAGAGAGAGAGAGAGAGAGAGAGAGAGAGAGAGAGAGAGAGACGATAATTGATATTTGATTCTGAGCTACATCTATCCATAATAAATGTCTTACAAGATTATAAAATTACATTCCGAAATAACGATGGTGGATTGAGTAGTGATAATGATGATAATGATAATTAAACTGATATTAATAATGATAATAACAGTAATAATGACATTGATAATGATTATAATGATGATAATAGCAATAATGATAATGATGATTACAATAATTGTGACGATGATGGTGATTATTGTCATAGGTCACCTAGTGCTATCAGTATAGATAATAATGACAAAATGATAGCATTAAAAATAATTTCAAAGCAAAATTTGGTTCGCACATTTTTTAAAACTCTTCTTGCAATCAATTATTCCAGTCGGATTATTGCTTTATTTTCTATTATTGTCGATTGTTTTTCCTCACATAATTTCATATCTTTGAAACAAACTATGATTTTTTTTCTCGAAATGTTAATAATCTAATTCCATTGTTTTCTTGTTATTTTCAAGGGCTTCCATTTTCATTCTTTTTCTACTCTCTCTCTCTCTCTCTCTCTCTCAAGAAGTAATTGATTTTTCTCACTGTATATCGGTCTCTCTCTCTCTCTCTCTCTCTCTCTCTCTCTCTCTCTCTCTCTCTCTCTCTCTCTCTCTCTCTCTCTCTCTCTCTCTCTCTCTCTCTCTCTCAAGAAGTAACTGAATAAGATTACGAATAAGACGTGGGTGAAAAAAATAAAGAAAAAACGAAAACATCTACATCTACAGACGCAATTCATTTCTTTGGAAACGAGCCAAGAGTTGGAGGGTTTTCATCCAGATATTTCTTGTCAACCAAACTGATTGGCACTGAGGGCGAGGGAGGAGGAGAGGGGCAGGGGGGGGGGGGAGGGAGAGGGGAGAGGAAAGGAGAGGGAGGAGGGGAGAAGGGAGGGTGTGTTGGGCGAGGAGAGAGGGGCAGGAGGGGCGAAGGGAGGGGAGGGAGAGGGGAGAGGGAAAGGAGAGGGGGATAGGGCGAGGGGAGGGAGGGGAGAGGGGAGAGGGGGAGGGGAGAGGGGAGGAAGAGGGGAGAGGGGAGGGGGAGAGGGGGGGGAGGGGTGTGTGTGTGGGGCGAGGGGCAGGAGGGGCGAGGGGGAGGGGGATGGGGATGGGGGGTGTGTGGGCGAGGGAGAGGGGGGAGGGTGTGGAGGAGAGAGGGAGAGAGAAAGGAGAGGGGGAGGGAGGGGAGGGTATGTGGGGCGAGGGAGAGGGAAG